AGGAGGCGTGGATGTGGTCGTGGTCGATGAAGGGGACTACGTCGTGGTCAACGAAGGAGGAGGCAGAGGCTGCGGTCGTGGTCGACGAAGCATGAGGCGGCGATGGAGGGTGGCTACCTCGACGACAAAGGAGTGGCTCTTCGACGTAGAGGCGAGTTTTCACTTTTAAATTTTTAGTTATTATTATTATTTTTTTTGTGGTGGCGGCCTATGGCAGTTCAAGCTACACAACAAGAGCTTTTTTCTGGGTTGCAAAATACTTCCAAGCTGTCTGAAAATCAGATAACTCAGATAAGTGGAGAAATCAGGGGAAAAAAGGTTGTGCATGCTGTGCAGGTTTCAGAGACTTCTGTTGTCTCTGGTGATTTGAACAAAATGGCAGGAAAAGATGCTATGGCAGTTCAGGCTACACAACAAGAGCTTTATTCTGGGTTGCAAAATAATGAAAGTCAAATAACTCAGATAAGTGGAGAAATCAAGGGGGAAAAGGTTGTGCATGCTGTGCATGTTTCAGAGATTCCTGCAGGCAAAACTTCTGTTGGGCAGTCTTCTGAGAAATTCTCATTACCTTCTCTAGCTAGGCATAGTCAGGATAAATTTGTGGGTGTTTCCATAAGCTCTCAACCTATTAAATCAAGACTCATTATGCAGAAGCCTGGGCTTAGAGTTTTGGGAAATTCTTTTGATTTTCTAAAAGACATGGATGGTAATCCCTCTACAGTGGACATGGGGGGTTTTGCAAGTTTATGAATCTCTCTTTTTGGAATATTAGAGGACTAAATAAGTCTTCTAAGCAGCATCTTGTCAAGCTTCATATGCAACAGAATTCTATATCTTTTATGGCTCTCTTTGAAATAAAAATCAAGACAAAAAAGCTACCTATTGTTACTAGGAAAATTGCGAACACCTGGAAGTGGTATTCAAATGATCTTAACTCTAGCAAAGCTAGAATTCTTCTTCTTTGGGATCCTAATAGTCTGGAAGTTCAAATTGAAAGTCAATCATCTCAACATATCACTTGTGTAGTCAGATCTTTTGATGGCAGAATTGATTGTCTTATAACTTCAATATATGGTCATAATCATCTGGAAAATAGAAGAGACCTTTGGCAGAAGCTAAAACAAGTCAGGTTATCTGCTGGAAATAAGCCTTGGATTCTTTGTGGTGATTTTAATACTATTACTGGTAGTGATGATAAACTGAGTGGTGCAGTGGTAACAGAGGCTGAAACCATGGATTTCAGGAATTTCATTGATGATTGCCACCTATCTCACATGAAAATAGAAGGTTGTCATTTTACTTGGAATAACAGGCAAGAAGCAAACTCAAGAGTTTGGAGTAGGTTGGATCGAGCCTTGGTAAATGATGCTTGGCTAAATTTCTATAATTCCAGTCATGTGGAATTTTTACAACCTAATTGTTCAGATCATTCCCCAGCTCTGGTTTCAGTGTATGATGATTGTGATCAAGGTAAAAAGCCTTTTAAATTTTTCAAGATGTGGATTAAGCATGAAGATTATATTCCCACTGTCTCTTCTATCTGGAAAACTCCTATTACTGGATGTAAGATGTTCTCTGTTGCTAGCAAACTGAAACTTTTGAAGGTTGCTCTGAAGGACCTCAACAGGAGAAATTTTCATAATATAAGTGAACAAGTAAATAGGGCAAAGATAAATCTGGACAAAACTCAAAGCAATCTACAAGCTGATCCTCTCAATTCAGTACTCATTGCACAGGAGAAAGAATGCATAGTCACTTATAACAGATTGTTGGAGTGTGAATTGTCTTTCTATCAGCAAAAATCAAGGATACAATGGATAGTGCAGGGTGACAGATGCACTAGATACTTTCATTCTTCAATCAAGGCTAAGAGGCATCTCAATAGAGTTAATCTACTGTATGATAGTGCAGGTGACAAGATTACTGATGGTGAGGGAATCATTCAAGAATTTATCTCTTTTTATAAGAATCTTATGGGATCAAAAACTGTTACCCCAAAGCCTGACTGTAAATTCATTAGCAAAGGGGTCTGTTTAAATGAAGCTCAAGCAATTGCACTCTCCTCTGCTGTGACTAGGGAGGAAATCAAAAAAGCTATTTTTTCCATGGATGATAATAAAGCTCCAGGTCCTGATGGATTTAATATGTCCTTTACAAGTCTGCATGGAGTATTATAGGGGATGAAGTTTCACAGGCAATTCTTGATTTTTTTCAGAACTGGGAAACTGCTTGGTATGATAAACTCAACTTCCATATCTCTAATTCCTAAAGTGAAATGTCCAAAGACTCCTTCTGATTTCAGACCTATTGCTTGTTGTAACTGTCTATATAAGATCATTTCAAAAATTCTAGCTAACAGAACTGGGAAACTGCTTGGTATGATAAACTCAACTTCCATATCTCTAATTCCTAAAGTGAAATGTCCAAAGACTCCTTCTGATTTCAGACCTATTGCTTGTTGTAACTGTCTATATAAGATCATTTCAAAAATTCTAGCTAACAGGATAAAGACAGTGATGGGATTTTTGATTAATGAGGCTCAAAGTGCCTTTGTTAAAGGAAGGCAAATATCAAGTAATATCTTGATGGCTCATGAGATTGTGAGGAGCTATGGCAGGAAGCACAATTCACCCAGGATCATGATGAGTATAGATATCAAGAAGGCTTTCGATACTATAAGTTAGAATTTTCTTAGAGATATGCTTACTGGTCTGGGGTTCCCTGATATCTTTACAAACTGGATCATGGTGTGTATTACATCCCCAAAATACTCTATTTCTTTAAATGGCACACTACATGGTTATTTCAAAGGAGAAAGGGGTTTGAGACAAGGTGATCCTATCTCTCCCTATTTGTTTACACTGGGTATGGAGTTCCTGTCAAGAAAATTAGACATGCTTAAAGAGGACAGATCTTTTAAATTTCATCCTAGGTGTGGTGAGTTAAAAATCACTCATCTAATATTTGCAGATGATCTCCTCCTCTTTTCTAAGGGTGACATTCATTCTGTTAAACTTCTTTTCAACTGCTTCAAGGAGTTTAGTGAGGTATCAGGTCTGGTTGCAAATCCAGAAAAATGTAAGATCTTTTACAGTGGTGTTGATGAACATACCAAAAGCTTGATTAGTAATCTCCTGAACTTCACAGAGGGTGCACTGCCCATCAAATACTTGGGGGTTCCTTTGATATCCAAACGATTATCATATACTGATTGTTCTCCTCTTTTAAACAAAATCTCAGATCAATTACAAGCTTGTCTGAAAAATAGAGCTCTGTCTTTTGCTGGCAGATTACAAATTATTAAGAGTGCTATTCTTGGCATCCAGATATATTGGACTTCAAATTATATTCTTCCTGTTAGAGTATTGCAGAAGATTGATCAAATGTGCAGGAACTTTCTATGGGGCAAAACAGATCAAAAACATAAAATTCCTCTGGTTTCTTGGGATAAAGCCTGTTTGAGTAAAAGGCATGGGGGTCTTGGCATCTACTCAGCAACAATTTGGAATATGGCAACTATGCTGAGGTTAATGTGGCATATCCATGTTAATAAAGAGAGTCTATGGATCAAATGGATACACAGTGCATACTTAAGAAATGATGATATATGGCATGTTCAGGCTAAAAACTGGGACTCATGGATGTGGAAGAAAATTTTGAAAATCAGAGACAAAGCTGTTAGCTTTTGTGGAGGTCTAAATAACTTGTTGCTGCTCATTCAATCTTGCTCTGAAAATTCTAGAATCCAGATTTCAGCATTGTACAATGCTCTCTCCCCTAATTCTTCAGTTGTGCCATGGCATAGAACAGTTTGGGAGACTACAAACTTCCCCAGTCACTCTTTTATCTGTTGGTTAGCAATCCAAGATAGGTTGCTTACTATCGACAGACTGATTAAGAGGGGATTAATGAACTCTAACAATTGTTGTCTGTGTACTGGTTCTCAAAACAGAAACCATCTTTTCTTTGAGTGCTGCTATTCAAGAGAAGTGTGGCTAAAAATTATGGATTGGCTCAGTTTCAAATGGCAGTCCTGTGATTGGAATCAGATTGTGATTTGGTACTGTGATAGACTGAAGGGTAATGGTTTCAAGCAAAGGATTAAAAGGATGGCTCTAACTACAGCTGTTTATAGTATATGGAGAGAACGGAATTTCAGGATTTTCAGGCAGAAAGCAAGGCCAGCTGATCAACTTTTTAGAGATATCAAATTCAACATTTATTCTTTTGTTCTCAATGGCTCTTTTAAGGCAGAAGACAGAGAATGGATCATTTCACTTTGACAGTCATTGAAGAGAGCAATTAGCAGGTTCTAAGCTGCTGTTAGTTGCTGTTGAGGAGAGCATGTTTTACTTAGTAGCTGTTAGTTGCTGAGTTTTTGATTGAGTTCTATTTTCTTTGAACTCTTAATGTCAGTTTTGATATCTCATACATATGATGAGATTCTTGATGTACATACATTCTTACATTTGGTGATGAATAAAATCTTTCATTTACCAAAAAAAAAAACTATGGTTACTTTGCGTTATAGAATAAACGCGTTATAACCTTCTTTTTTTTTGCGTTATTTTGAAAAAACGTAAAGTTATATTATAAATGGATTATATCCTTCTGTTACCTAACATAAATGTCACCTTACCTTATAAAACGCGTTATTTCGCATTTCGTAAGCCGTTTTTTTCAACATTGGTTTGAACCTCTACTAGTCTAATCCGACTAATCTCTCAGACATGTGATGCTGCACTTTATCCCATATTAATCAATTATTAGAAAGATTCTCTTTAGACAGTCCACTACCTATTTCTAACAAAACAAAAATATTTTTTATTTTTTGCTAACGTGGATCTTTGAACAACTTCTAGTCTAATCCGACTAATTAATCTCTCATACATGTGATCGATGCTGCACTTTGTCGTACATTAATAAATTATTAGAAAAATTCTCTTTAGACAGTCCACTACGGATCTCATGCCGGGCCTGTTTTGTTGATTTTCTAAAATTAGCAAGTACAAAATTAGCAAATACCAAAATGTCCAGACCCTTAAAAAAGCCCCTTAATTGGAAATTTTCTCTCTAGAAAGAGTGACAAATCATAAACCAACTTTTACCTGCTATTTATACATAGGCAGTAGCGAAGCTGCATGCAAGGGAAACCGAAGAAGGGACAGTATTTTTAATCAAAGGGAGCACTTAAATGGAGAGGATCTCTCTTCTTCCTTCCAAGGCTTTGTTCTCGCGCTCCTTGGGATACTTGTATCCACAAGTTCGTGGAAACCTGAACTTCTGCACGACCGGGCTCTATGTAGAAAAACAGAACAAGATGCTGAGCTTCAGGCCTTTAGGTACGTATCACCATAATTATCTTTTGCCTCCTCAAGGGACTTTTTTTAGCTGCAAATTTTCATGTCTACGGCCAAACCTATCAATTGATAGAAATAATCATTAAAAGCTTGTTGGAAATGTGATGCAAGCGCAGAGGAGATGCGAGCCTAGAGGAGGATGAATAGAATTGCTACAATTTTTTGATGATGTCAGAAATGGCAGCAGAAATAAAAAAGCGAAAAACTATTTTCCAAAATAAGTCTTCAAAATACATATTTACTAACTACTGATATTTTTTTTAGAAATGCTTAGTAGCGTAGTGAAAAGTAAAAGTTTTGGTTTCAAAAGGTTCTCAGTTCGAGGATTGCCGTAGGCAAGCCGAGAATTGTTTTCTCTTAAATAAATCAATTAATCCTTCATAAGTATTAGCATGTCGTGGCTCGTGTGGCCGTGGGCTTGGGCACATGGGCTCGTGGTCCGTGGGCTCGTGCCATCATGGCTCGTGGGCCCATGGGTTCGGCGGACGCTGGCTAATACGCAAAGACCGGGTGGCTAATCGGCTGCAGACACTAAGTGGCGCTTTGTACGACGCACTTATCAGAATGCCGACCTGGGCGCCTCGGTTGCGAGGCGTGACCCTCACCTAGCCCTCGAAGCGTTCAGGGTAGCGTTATTACAGCAAGACCACTTACAACACATTAAATATCTTTTGTTACAATCATCGTAATTTGCGTTAGATACTGTGCTAGCATTATATACAAATGAAGGCACAAATTCAAATCTCAAAGATAACATTGAGTGTATGCATGACAATCCTCAACATCATAGATGAAGGGGTACACATTTGGTGGACAATGTCCATTCTACACTTTAGTTTATTGACTTTTACTATATACACTATTATACATTATATACACCTATAATGTAATATACTATATTACTAATATTTATATTATTATCTTTCTTGATATTATTTTTATACTTACTACTTTATATTATTATATATATTTTATATATGTTTTATATTAATATATTATATAAGTAAACCCATACTACTATAAGTATTATATATATAAATCTATAGCTATATGAGAGAGAGAGAGAGAGAGCAAAACTTGTGTCCACATTAAGTGGACAATTCCACTAAGACTTTTAACCTTAGATTTTCCTACGGGAGATACCTTGCATGATATGTAATGACTTTTATAATGTTAAATGAGGTGGATTATTAAAGTTTGGTGACACACTATTCACTATCCACCTAAGTCTGACACAAGTCTATCTCTCTCTCGTCTCTCTCTCTCTCCCTATATAGTAACATAATACCATTATATAATATATATATATATATATAAGTATATATAATCAATATAACTATACTATATATACTATATATATAAATATATATATAAATGCACACATGAACTATGAAGATATCTATGAAAAGTTTATAAAAACAATAATAAAAGTAATTATATTAGTTTATAAAATGAATTCAGATATATTCTATCTAGTTTGAGCTTATTCTTTTGTTACACAACTTGAATTATCTCGACCTTTAGAAAAGATCCAAAATCTCTCTCTATCACCTTAACAATGCATGAATTTTTAAGAGGAAGAATAATAGTGTTTGGAAGGTGATGTACACCATTTATAAATATAGAAATATTTACCGTAGAATGGATACCCTTGAGATATTGCACATTTATTCACGAATGTGGGTCTTTGACCATCTTTTAACAAAACACTCAATTTTGCTGTGGATTTATAGAGTGTGGATGTTTGATCATCTTTTAACGAATATACTCTTTTTACTTGATATTTTATAACACATATGTTCTTTGTACATGTATAGAAATTTTATGATGTATTCAAGTGTAGATTGAGCTCAAGATTTTTGATATATCTAGAAACACTTTAGAAACAACATATAAAAATATTTATTCTTATTTTCACTAACTCTACATGACAAATATAATACTAAAGTGTGAAAAGTTATATGAAATATATCATGAACCATTGTGTTTATCAATCATATATGCTGCGTGTGCATATATAACATATGTAGATCTATGAAATATATGAACTAATATGATAAAGTCATGTTTATATACCAATAGATAACCTTATCTAAATATATATTGTAAAAACATACATATAGGCAAGTCCAAAGTTTTTATATTCTTATAAAAAAGGAAAATAATAAAAAAATGAAATATTTATATTATTTTTTTATTTTTCATAAGAAAACAAAAAGAAAGAAAGGAAAATTTTGTATTTTTTTATATATAGAAAGAACCGAAAATTGGAAAAATCAAATAAAATCCAAAAACATTTTATGTACATAAAACAAGTCAGATGAGCATGCATAAAGCTACTAACTAAACAGATATGTAATACGAGTAGATAAAAGTTTGTATATGACAAAGTATCTCATGCATCATCCAAAAATATACATACAATAAGTAAGGATTATAGAATATACTTGAAGTAAGCTTACCCCTATGAGAAAATAATATATAACATATATCAAATCTGTATCTCCTCATATCCATGCAGACCAATGATTAAATTTTAATAACTAAACCAGCAAGCAATCATCATGTGTTGCCTCAAACCTCGGCCTACCTGCAAACCTATAGAAAGACAGATAATTGTGACCTAGGTAACATAGATTCACATTGGATAGCAATAAGGCCTTTTGTTATCCCAATCTATTTGAGTGTTCTGATCCAATATCTCGTATGACAGCTCCTAGAAACATGTCCAATTTTCTAACATAATGAGCCGAATGATAAGTTCCATTGAGAATAGGATTAAAACAACTAAAATTATTTCCTTTTTCAAAAGAAGGTTAAAACTTTTCATATTTTTTAGAATGTGAATAACCAAGTCTAGTTTTAACTTTTGTAAATCGTTGATTGGAACGGACCATGTTAAGACCTTTTGAGCCAATAAAAACTTCTTCACAACCTTTTTCAAATCACTATTTTTGGAATTTAATTGTTTATTTTCATAAATAATAGTAGTATATTGAGTTTCAAACTTGATTTTTTCAAAAGACAGCTCACAAAATAACTCATTACCTTAGCAGTAAGTTTTGTTTTTCACATTGATTATTTCCAAGTTGCTTCGATAAACAAGAGATTTGATTTTGTAGGTCAGAACATTGTGTGCATATGAAAGAGATGATATCATGAGATGGGTTATTTGAATTTAAATTTAAAGAAGAAAATTTTACTTTCTTTAACAATAGCTTATTTTCTTTCTTTAAGTTTGTATTCATCCTTTTCTTTACTTCATACTTTTCAGTAATTTTCTCAAGGTGAACCAACATCTCATTATAGTTATAATATAAATCATTATAAGAAGGATATATCTTTTCATCTGAACTTTCACTAGCATAGCCACTCAAAATACTTTGATATGAATCTAAAGTTGAAGGTTTTCTTCCCATGAGATATAAGCACGGTCTTTCGTCATCATCTTTCAAGCTACTCTCCGAGTCTTCCTAAGTAGTCATTTTGAAAAATTTTCCCTTTTTTATAGTCCTTTTTGTTCAATGGATAATTCTTCTTAGGTAGTCGGGATTCCTACATCGAAAATAAATTAATTCAGTATCAGAATCACTAGAATTATATTTATTTAATTTACATGTATAATAGTCATGTTTGTCTTGTAGGAATTTTTAACCATGCTTTGACTTGAGGAAGAATTCATAGCCTTTAACAATTTGATCAACTTGGCTATTTTCTTCCTCAGAAATTGAGCTCAACTTTTTCTTCTTAGACTAGGGTTTTTCGTTCTTAGCTTTGAAGGCTAAAGATTTCTTCTTTTAGTCTTCTTCAGAGGCATCTTCTCTTTCAGTCTAACTTCATATGTGATAAGATTGTCTACATGATCATCAATATATAGATTAGAAAAATTTTAAAGTTCTTCATTAGCCATTACCTTAGGTTTTAAATCTTGAGATAGAGAACAAAGTATCTTTCTGTGCAGCTCCTTTTTTTCGTACTCCTTCCCTAAGGCTTTCAATTTATTCCTGATGTCAGTGAATCACGTAAATATATTATGTATGCTCTCTGAGGCCTTCATCTTAAAATTTGTGTATTTGCTCACCAGAATTGTAAGCTTTGCCTCCTTTAGCTACAAAATTTCCTCATGGATGACTTTCAGTATCTTCTAAATATCCTGCATAGTAGTACAAATAGAAACACAATTAAATTCTTAGCAATAAGAGAACAATATAAAGCATTCATAGCTTTAGAATTATAAGAGTAAATCTGCTTGTGCCTTGGAGACTAGTTTCCCTTAGTTAGAACAAAATAACACCTTCTACCTTGATAGTAGGTTTCTTATATCCATGTTCTACACTTTACCAAATAATGAAACTAGTTAGCAATAGAAAAACTCTCATACAGACATTTCAATATGTGTAGTTGGTGCCATAAAAAGAAGGGGATGGTTGATGGCGTGTCCTTTAGGAAAGGCTTAAGCGGTGGTAAGACTTAACATCTTTACCCTAAATATAGGTAATGAGGCTCTAATACCACTTACTAGATCTGGAATGCAAGCCTAAAGGGGGGTGAATAGGATTACTACGGTTTTTCGACAATACTCAGAAAATGCAGCAAAACTAAAAAAGTAAAAAAACTGAAAGCAAAGTAGCATAGGAATACACAAGATTTTTATAGTATTTCAGATCAAAATCCTACGTCCACTCTTCCTTCTCATGAAGGGCCTTCCTCATTAGTACTAGAGTTCACCTAAATCACCACCCGATTCAGTAGGCTTCAAAAATCGCACCCTATAATCTGCCTGAAACCAGTTATCTTCCCTAACTCTTCACAATGTGCGGTAGAAACCTAGCCCTAACTAGCCAAACTCTCAATTACTGCGGCTTGTGTACGCTATCAAACTCAGGAGTTTGATATACAACTAACCAAAATAAATAATGTGCAAAAAGAGCAATCTTACAGCTCTTTATCAATCAATTTTTAAATTGATGAAAATGAAGATCCATGAAGAAGTGATATGGCAATGAAAGTATAGGGTACTCCTTTTCTCGTTGAATCAAACTCTGATAAATAGTGCACCGAGAAGAAGTTGAACAAGACTCGGAGGATTTGATCAACTCTCTCTCTCTCTCTCTCAAACCCTAGAACAAAGATATCGCCTTTGTATATTTGCCTCCTTGAACTCCCCTCTAATTATGATCTCCAACTTTCCTTAAATAGAACTTGATAGGATAGGAAAGAGATACCCAAATCTGAGTGCAAATAGGAGATCAAACGGGTCAATGAACTGCTGAGATTAAATTCTAAAAATTCCTAAAATTTATTATATACATCGATGGTGGATCATGAACATCGGTGGACCCTTGGTGATCATCGATAGTTCCACTGTAGCCATTGAATGGTGCTGATTATGGCTTTTAGATTTTTTCGATTGTTTCATGCAACCATCAATGGTTTCCTATGACCATCGATGGGACACTGTTGACAACCGATGGTGCCAACTCATGCTTCTATATTTCTCCGATTGGCTCCTGTAACCATCGATGAGATGCTTGACCATCAATGAGTGCCTCTTGACCATCGATGGTTCAAAGGCTGAAATCAACATTTGTATTGATTTTTCTATTATTTCTAGCCACAACTTGCTCATACCAGTTTATATATATATCATCTCTCAAGACATATATATAGTAAATGAGAGTTTGTTATTAATCAAATAAGAGATACTGTTCGAACAACGTTCTCAAAATCGTTCTAACAAAGCTTACAAAAAGGCCCCATCACGGGTGATCCGGATGGTTGGAGGTTTCAATATGACTCCCATGATCCAGGGTTCAATTCTAGTCTGGGTTATAAAAAAAGCTTACAAATAGGAGGAGGTCTCGAAAACTTTTGAACATGTGAAAGATCAGGGTACTATAGCATTATCTTGTAAAAAAACTACAACACATCCAAAAATTTCTAAGAACCCAAAAGAAAAGAAAATACATGGTGACAAAATTAGCCAAAGTCTAACATGCTCCTTGAACCATGAGCCGCCAATCTATCCGCAACATAATTTTCTTCTATAAACACATGCGAGATAGAATAATGCATATCCTCCCAAATCGATATAATTTTAATTTAGGTTGCTCTCTATTTTTAGTGCTTCAGAAAATTCTTTCTTCAGAATTTATACAAGAATCTGAGAATTAGATTCAATCTCAACAAGCATTATATCATTATCTTTACTTCTTTCAGAGCCATCAATTCTGTAAAGAAATTTGTACCATTGCAAAAAGGATTAATACATTATGACCCTAAAATTATTAATACGGGAGAAAATTTATGTTCTTCAAATACATCTGCAGCAAATGTTTTTAAGGCTATGTTCTCTTTGCCATTTGGATGATTCCATTGAATCATTCCACTTTTGAGGGTCATCGACTCTAGACTAAGATTTTAAACGAAAACATCAATCATTCTATATGTATCAAAGTGTTGGGGAAATATGGGATCTAATCGGAGTTGATGACTCTTTTTAAGAGTGCATAATACAGTTTTAGTTCGATTAAACAAATTGTTCTTTATTATCCTTTCGCATTAGTGTGGAACTGTACTCACAATATTCTAAACAACAGCAACCATGACAGTAATCTTTACATCATATGTGGGGTAATAGATCTTTATTTGCACCGGGAACATCCATGAGTTTTGCCTGTGATGACATATGAAGCATCATAAATTACCTAGACTTTTTGCATTATGAAAATAGATTTAAATCTTCTCCGCTCTGGAAAAAGTTAAAGAAGCACCATAAATAATACAATGAGGGAAAGAAAAGAGAGTTTGAATCATGAATTATACTAAATCATGCATTCCATTTAAACATTAAAACATTACTCATCCCTGGATCCACTGACTACTTTTTCATTTTCTTCTGGCAAGTTAATGCATCAGGAGCGCTTTCTCCTCGAGTTGCTGGAGCTTTTGATATTGATGTAGCTAAAGATTCTGCAGAAGAGGTGAACGGTGTAATTTTTGTATGTTAGAAGGATCAAAATCTAAAGCATGCATATACAACAAGCACTCAAAAAACCTCTAATGCAAATAATTTGTGTATACGTACGTATGTGTGTGTGTGTAAAACAAAGTTTTGTACATATATCCATATACATGTTGAAAGAGAAATCAAGAACTAACTTAATTTTTTCTTTGGTGATAAGACACGTGATGAAGATGATAGGATTGGGACACTAGTTATGCAAATTAAAGAGATGTTCAGATCAATGAGTGATGGTGACACAAGCCCTTCTGCTTATGATACTGCATGGGTTGCTCGAATACCATCGAAGCATGATGCAACAAGGCCTCATTTTCCTACAACTTTAAATTGGGTCCTTGGGAATCAACATGAAGATGGTTCATGGGGAGAACCCAGCTTGTTCCATCTCTATGACAGGCTCGTTTGCACTCTTGCATGTATTCTTTCTCTTAAGACATGGTCCATAGGAGAACAACATATAGCCAAAGGTACTACTTTCTTACATTTGTTTCTTCCCTTTTACTTATAGCCAAAGGTACTACTTACTTACATTTGTTTCTTCCCTTTTGTTGCAGTTTTGAAATTTCCAGTTATTCTTGGAGTAGAAAATTATATGTAGTATCCACTGATGTCACATGATACCACTGAATTGCATACTTTTACATCTATTTACTACTAAAGACACTACTAAAATTAGGGTGCGCAGGACACTAGTGAGTTGTGTGTATGGAGACACCACTAGGACACAATTCTAGACCAGCCACAGTTAGAAATTATATATCATATAACATAGTAACAACATATTGCTTTACATTTTCTCTGAAACATGTTTACGAGGATACATGAGATTAGCAACCAACGTAGACAATTTTCCATATTATTCATCTTACTAATAAATCTTAGATCATTCAAATAAATTAACAACACAATCTTATGCTCGCATACACACATTTGGCATATATGTGTCTAGCTATGTGCGCGCGCACACACACACACAGATATAGACACGCACACGCACACTATGCCCACTTTCAGAAATGTATATTGTGCAATGAAACTGGGTGATCTATGGCTCTCATCTTGCTCTACATATGTTAAAAGGTCTACGTATGAAGTAAAAAGATTGTCAAAGTTGGCAAGTCAGTTACATCTGAAAATCCCCTTATTTTTAGCCTAAGATTTTCATGTGCTCTAGGGCTTGAATTCCTGAGGGCTCATGTTGAGCAGCTTGGAGATGAAACCAGTAACTCGAGAACGTGTGCCTTTGAGATAGTATTTCCTTCAATGCTCGATGAAGCCAATAGTATCGGGCTTGAACTTCCTTATGATGCTCCTTACTTGAAAAAGATTTTTGAAATGAGAGAGAACAAAAAGAGCAGGTATGCATTAAACATTCTTTTATATACACTCCATAGTTCTAAGAATTTATGGTATATATTTACAATAAAAATTGATATTAATTCAAAAACCGGTATAGAGTTCCTGTGGAAATGATGCATTCGGTTCACACAACATTGTTATACTCGGTAGAAGCTTTACAAGAAATTGTTCAATGGAAGAGAATCCTAAAGCTTCAATCTCCAGATGGGAGTTCTTTAAGTTCCCCTGCTGCCACAGCTGTTGCTTACATGAAAACTGGTGACAGTAAATCCCTAGAGTACTTAACTAACATAGTACAAAGATTTCGAGATCATGGTATGTTGTCTTAAAGGAAACAATCAAATACTATTTCTTTGATTATTTGTTAATTGTAGAACATTTAACCACTCCTTAAGTGTTCTTTCAGCACCATCACAGTATCCAATTGACCTTGTAGAGCGCATATGGGCAATTGACACCATTGAGAGATTGGGAATTCATCACTATTTTCGCGAGGAAATTTCCGATGCCCTTGACTATGTGTATAGGTAAGATCAGTACATTAGAGAATGATTGTGTACTCTATTAAAGTTCATATGGATGTTGCCAAAATGAAAGCATATTGAAGCAATAGGCTTATATAGCTGAAGTACTGAATATTATCCAAATATATCTGACGCATATTGTAATTCAAACTCATGCATCGAATGTTGCTATAAAAAGCTGTGTGTTTGTTTAACCTAGTTAACTATCAAATTTGGAATAGGTTTTACTCATACAAATTTGTTTTTTTAGTATCTACATTTTTCATGTACATTTTTTTTTGTAGAAATATCGGAAAAAAGGGTGTACCTTATGGAACTGGAAATCCAATTCCTGATATTGATGATACCTGCATGGCCCTTCGGTTGGCGAGATCACATGGCTATGAAATATCCCCAGGTAAAAATTAAAATTATATTTACGTTGCATAGTTGACATTTGAAACAACAAACTTCTATATCAATCTATTAGACCTAATATTATTGTATTGAAACAGATATCCTTCAGCACTTTAAACAGGATAATGGGCACTTCATATGCCACCCAGGGGAGACGCACACTGGAGTTTCTGATATGTTTAATTTGTACAGATTTTCCCAGATTTCATATCCAGGAGAAACGATACTAGAGGATGCAAAACCTTTACTTCAGCGTTACTTACAATATTGTATAAAAAATCATGTGGATGACAAGTGGGCATTGAAAAAAGATTTGCTTAAAGAGGTACTCTATTGATGCTTTTGCTCTCAATTCATCTTGATTTCTGTACCTGAAATCCTTTGTATTCGTCAGGTTGAGCGTGCGTTAAGATACCCATGGAAAATGAGTCTTCAAGGACTTGAAGCTAGGGAGTACATCGACCTTTATGGGGAAAATGATCTTTGGATAGGAAAGACAGTTTATTGGTACTATAAGTTCCATACTCTTGTCAAATAGTTGTTTTAATTAATGAGCCAAAATATTTCAGTTGTTACAAATGATGCTTGGATATTGTAGGATGCATAATGTCAATAACCCAAAATATTTGGAACTTGCTAAGTTAGAGTATAACAGGCTACAAGCTATCCACGAAAGAGAGATTAATTATGTTCTAAAGTGAGTTTAATTAGTTCACTTTGCCCTCCTTGTTTCAATATTTATAAATTCTTTTACATGATTCTGACTAGTACTTTCTCTATTAGATGGTGGAACAACTGTGGACTTGATGATCCTTTTGTCACTCGAATATGCCCACAAGAGATTTACTTCTCAATCGCAGCAACTCTATATGAGCCGGAACTTGAAGATTGTCGGATAACGTACACGAAATCCAACTGCATTGAGGACATTGTTAGAGATATGTTTCAAAATCATGGATCCAATCAGGACCTAAAACTATTTTGCAAAGCAATTGAACAGTAAGGATCGATGTCAGCATAAATTTCTTTATCACTATCAACTGTAGCCATACTAAAGAATATACATACATTCAGATGGAATCCTTCACTTATTCACTCCCTCCCGCAAAGAATTCAAGTAATTTTCATGGCAATGTACAATACATTGAATGAATTGGCAACTGAAGCAAGTAACGCCCAAGGAAAGGATGTATTCCCCTACTTTCATGACCTAGTAAGTAAATTTTCCAGAGTACAGCCCCCCCCCCCCTTTTCAAATTATAGATATCTAATTCACTCAGAGGAATACAGAGATCGAAGCAAGTACAAGATTACATGAAGAGTAGATTGAGAATAGAAACGAAACAAATATCGTCATGGACAGAATATTTCGAGAATGGTAAAAAAGATTGTGGTGTAGCCATCAGAACAGTGCCAACAATGTTCTTCATGGGTGAGAATATGGTGGATAATATTCTACGATGCTTGGACAGCCGTTCTAAAATCCAAGATCAGTTGTCCATGTACTTGAGACTGTTGATTGATGTTAGGACACACGAGGTATGAATTAAACTTCATCCTGCTAATTGTATGTCAATTGTTGTCTTCCAGCTTTGCAATGCTGAATAAATATATTTTCTTTCATTTCAGAATATGATGCATAAGAAACCTACCATTGCAATTTCTTCCTACATGAAAGAAGCAAACTGCACAGAGGAAGAAGCAATATGCCGTCTAAAGAGAACGACAGAAGAGGCCTTCCATGAGTTAGTGTACCAGTATCTAAAGCCTAGCAAAGTACCTCGCTGCTGCCGGAGGCTGATGTTTGAACATGGAAGAATAACTCACTTTTTCCTTGGTGATAACAGCAGTACACCGCTCACTGAAAGAGAGAGGATCAGCGATGCGATGGATAGATTTTTTTCTGCAGTTTAATCCACAACACTATCGTAAGGTTTGAGCAGCAAATATGTAAATTTATTTATTTTGGACTTCGAATGATGTGTGTACTTTTAATGGCTACTATGGATCATCTGGTCCTGTATTGATAATAAGATTTCTAAAGGTTTTTATCAGATCAGAAGATTTGTCTTTCCATGCTAACATGGCAATATTATATTGTGGCTAATCCCTTACTCTGAACTTATCATAAGTTGTGAAAAAAAAATGGTAAGTAAGCAATGATTCTTATTACCAATCTTATTACCAATAGCAATAAAAAACAAACTTATCTGTACAGATATACCTCTCTGTTACAAAGAAGCCTCTCAAAAAAGTGAAAATCTCTCCTCCTGCTAACTGTGAACATGAGACCTCATACTAACAAGGAACAAAACATTACAAAGTTTCACTCACAGAAGAGGCATAATTAAAAGTTTCTTGTCTTAGGGATGAGCTCAAACTCAGTGTGCACAGCTAACTATCAATCTCTATTATGTTTTGAGTCTGTGAGCTTGCTAGTCCTACTACCTTGTGTCTTGAAATCAAATTTGATGAACTTAGCACATAACTTCAATAAAAGTCTCTTCTGTTGAAAAACGACACGTTTACTTTTCAAGCCAAATATGGTAGGTACAGTCAGCAACAACGAATCTTTCAATACTTTGCAACGGAGGAATCCTTATAAATTTGTGGTGTACAGATAAGCATCTTCGCTTCTTAGGGCTCCTAAACTACAAAATCGATGGTGGACGCCATGCCTGATATAATAGCAATATGTGCCATAACTACAAATCTTATCATAACACTATATAAGAGCAACACTATATACGAGCGTGTTATGACACTCCCGAGGATAAGCTAATATCAATCACACGAGAGCACGGAAAATATCGAGAACACACGAACACAAAGATATATGTGGTTCGGCTTGTACCTACGTCTACGGGGCTTTACTAAATCGTGAGGAATACAATGTGAAATCTCTCAATCACTCAATCCTAAATCACACACCAAAAGCCTAATACAACTCTCAACTAAAAGAACAAAAGAGAAGAATATCAAATAGGCTTCACAAAAGAACTCTCTCTTCTTGATTGATTCTCTGAAGATTGATGAATCTAATTGGTTTGAAAGACTGTTCTTATATAGCATTGAAGATCTCAACTCCTTACCATCTAAGGAATAAGAGTTCTAATAAGAAAAAAAAGTCCAAATGTCCTAAAACACAACAAGATGTTGGCCTCTTTATTTTGATGATATTTAACAAATAATTTACCACTAATGTTGTTTGTCTAGTATTTGTGTTTTCTTATTTATTGTAGACAAACAACGGGTTGAAGGATGGATGGAATTGCGCATTCACGATCATATACAATGGAGGTTGGCGGAATTGTGGAGTGAAGCCTACGCAATTCAAAGTTAAAGATTCAAGTTCACAAATAATTTACCACTAATGTTGTTTGTCTAGTATTTGTGTTTTCTTATTTATTGTAGACAAACAACGGGTTGAAGGATGGATGGAATTGCGCATTCACGATCATATACAATGGAGGTTGGCGGAATTGTGGAGTGAAGCCTACGCAATTCAAAGTTAAAGATTCAAGTTCAAGTTTCATCCGCAAGTGTACCAAGATAGAGCTTCGTTGAAGATCACAAGCTTGGGTATATTTAGTTTTAGGTTTTATATTATGTATGAAATCATGTTTTAGTGCATTATATGTGTATTTTGATAAAATACTATATTCATTGTTTATAGACTTCACAATAATAGTTTACATCTTTCTTCAAGTCTATAAAATCATTTTATTGTTTCAAAACATGCATGGTTAAGCTAAAATGTCAAAACTCATATGTTCACATTTTCATGTTCTGGACTATTTTGCAAAATGATGATATTTTTTATTTGGGAGGTCCTTTTTGAAAATTAGTTTTTGTAGCATGTGTATTATCATGTCTACAATTATTTTCCAAAGTTTTATATTTTTGAAATTTATTTGATATTTTTAAACAGGGTTTTAAAATCAGAAAACTGTTTCAAACCTGTCATTTTTCATATATCAGCTTTCGGTCGACCACAACGGTCGACCTTCATGTATCAGTTTACGGTCGACCGCCCTTGAGTCCAGAGACTCAGGATAGTTTTTCATGGATCACGGTCGATCGTGGCAGTCGATCAGATGCAATCGGGCGATCGTCACGGTCGACCGTCTGTTGTCCAGAGCCGTATTTAGTTTCTGTTGTTGCTCGCGGTCGACTGCGAAATTCCCACGGTCGACCGCCGATTGCCCAACGGCTATATTGGGTACAGAATCATAAATCTGATTCTCTGGGATTTTTGTTGATTTGTTTGGGGATTTGGCTGTTCGTTTCTCTTCCTATATAAACCCCTCAAACCCTAACTACCATACATCCAAGAAAGTTTTTAAAACAAGTTTAGTTTGGTTTTAAAGTTTGTTTAGTGTTTGTTTAAAAGAGTTTTATTTGTGAAGAAGTTTTTCACAAGTGAAGGAGATCATCTATATTCCTTGGGCTTCATTTTAATCCATCTCTTCATCTTGTTTTTCAAAGAAGAATTTCTAAACTCAATACTAGCTTTGTATTAATTCTTTGTTGTTTATCATTTTTATTAAGCTAGGGTTTACATTGAGTTTATGATTGATTTTCTCATTGCTTACACACACAACCATTGAGCTTATTGTATTTGCATACATTGTATAATTGGGTTGTAGGGAGTTGTAACAATTAAGAGTGAGCTTAATTGAGTTCTCATCTAGAGAACAACTATTGTTGTATTCGTTCTTAATTGTGAGACTCGCTTTGTAATACACTTGTACACCGAGAGAAGTATGTGGTGTGAGTCGGGGATCGTCCCAAGAGGAGTGGGGTAGGTAACATACCTAGAGAGAGGTTGTAATTCCTAACACTTGAGGAAGACACGTTTGTGACCAACACTTGAGAGGGTGTAGAGTGAGATTGCAAGATTGTTAATTATAAAGTTTTCGGTTAGCTAGGAAACCGAGTGTGAGGTGTAAACATTATTCGGGTAAGTGTAGAAAACCCGATTGTGATAGTGGATTTCTCCCTGGGAGTGGGGAGCTGAGACGTAGGACGGAAGGTCTGAACTCCGTGATTATTTACTTGTGTTTGAGTTTACTTTGGCGTTTCATTTGTGCTTAGTGTTCATTACATTCTTGTCACAATTGTCAATTGCCCTATCACATTTTTAGATTGTTTATTTCACCCTCGTGTTAGTTTATATATCCTTGCATATATTTCATAGTATATCTCATTGCTAGGATATATTCATTTGTTCATATTGCTTATTCTTGCTTATAACATATTGTACATCTATCTTGCAAGAAGAATAGTTTGAATTAGTTTTAATTTGCATAAAATCGGATTAGATTAGCATAAGACCCTAATCACCCCCCTCTAGGGTCTAACACAAGAGTCCAAGTAGGAATAAACCTCTAATATGATTGGTTGTGCAAAGTCTAATGTAAATAGAACTTTTGATCAAAACAAACCAATCCATAAAAGGAACTCCCAAATCAATATGAATTTGAGTATTTGAGGTAACCTATAACAAATCTCCACATTGACTCAAATACGTAGAAAATTTTTCACTCCAAATAGCTTACTCCACCTTCTCTAATAGCCCCGTAGGGCATCTAAATGTGGCACGTATCGATCAAGTCCAAGCACTGCGTGAACTTGCCACCTGAAAGAGGCCTCCTCAACAAATCGACTGAATTATGCGCACGACGACTGTAACGCTTAGCAAAGTCATCACCTGAAGTAGCTTCTGAGTAGCTAAAGGGCACAAAATTATCAACCGACAATGTATAAGCTACCGTATCTTCATATCTTCACGGTGGTCGAATATCTCGTCTAGACCGATCTCTAGCAATAGTGTATTCTCGTTCTTCCTGTAGCTGTTGAGGTGCTTCATCTACTTGAATAAGATCTGGCTGCTGAACTCCTGTAGTCTTATCCTACTGAAGTACTGAATCATGAATTTATAACTCCACCTTATGGCCTGTAGTGCGCGCCTTATCAACTGAAACTAGTGACTATTTTTGGTGGAACATAGTAGACTCATCAAAAGTAACATCACGACTGATAATAATCTTAGGAGACTTCGGATCAGGACACCACAACTTAAAACCTATAACACCCGATGCATGAATATGCACTTCTTCGCTCGCGGCTCAAGTTTCCCTTGACTAACATGCACATATGCAGGGCAACCAAATATTCTAAAATTAGAATAATCCACAGGCTAATTAGACCAAACATCCTCTGGAGTTTTATAACTAATAACAGTAGACGATGACCGATTCACTAAGTAACAAGCCGTATTCACACAAAGTAAGAGGAAATTGTCATATGTGGTGAAAATTCAATTGATAAAATCTGTTATTCTGGGGATTCAAATTTACTAGACAAGAAATTATGTGTTGCCGATAAAGGAGTTACAAAAGATAGATAAACTTTGCTCTGCTTTCTTATGGGATCACAAGGTTCACCTGGTCTCATGGTGTGATATATGTAAAGACAAGAAGATGGGAGGACTGGGCCTATTCACTGTAAGGGATTGGAATTATGCAGTTGCAATCAAATTGCTATAGATGATACACACCAAAAAAGATCTGTTATGGATTAAATGGGTGCATGAAAATTACATACACCAATTGGATATATGGCAGGTTCAACCAAAGAGAAATGACTCATGGATATGAAGGCAATTGCTCAAGGTGAGGGATATGGCCTTAAGAAGATTTGGAGATAGAGATAATCTATAAAGAGTAATAAATGATTGTTACATAAATGAAAAGATTCAGATATCTTCCATATATAAAGCTATGACTCAAGCATCAACACATGTAACTTGGTCGGATATAATTTGGGGAACCCTACACTATCCTAAACATTCAGTCATATTGTGGTTAACTACCCTCTCCAGGCTCCTGACACAAAGACAGATTATGCAGACTGGGAATGATAAATGAAAACCAATGTGTCTTGTGTTCGGATCAACAGGAAACCTGTAAGCACTTGTTTTTTGAATGTCAATACTCTGCATATATCTAGAATGAAGTGATGGAATGGTTGGGCTATGCTTGGAGATCATGCAGTTGGAATCAAATTATAAACTGGTATAGCACTAATTTGAAGGGGCTGGGATTCATGAAGAAAATAAAAAGAATGGCACTATCGGCAACTGTGTATTGGATTTGGAAGGAGAGGAATTTGAGGATCTTCTAACAAAAAGTTCATGCACCTGATCAGTTACTCTGAGAGGTGAAGATATCTATCCTATCAAAAGTTCTAGATGAAAAAAAATCTCTGATCATATGAAGGAAAGATTAGAGAAAATGTAAGCTAGCCTAGCTTGTTGAGAAGTCTGTAATTTTAGCTTCTTTCCAGACATGATTTGGTAAAGATTTGATGTAGTCACATTTTCAAAATTTGGAAGATGAATAAAAGTTTATTTCATTGACCAAAAAAATAAGTCGTATTCACTGCTTTCTCCCAGTATTCCCTGCCTAAACCTGCATTGAACATCATACAACGAGCTTTCTCCAATAGGATTCTGTTCATATGTTCTACCGTTCTATTCTGTTGCGACATGCGAGGGACTGTACGATGTGTAGCGATTCCGTCCTTCTTGCAGAACTCATTAAATTCCCCTCCACAAAACTCAAGGACATTATCAGTTCTAAGCCTCTTAACCAGCCTCCTAGTCTGCTTCTCAATCAAAAAATTTCACTGCTTAAAAGTCACAAACACCTCATATTTATTTCTTAAAAAATAGACCCAAACGTTTCTGGAGTAGTCATCAATGAATGTCAACAAATATTTGGAACTACCACCCTTTGAGACAACTTGAGAAGGTCCCCAAAGATCTGAATGAATATAATCTAAAGTACCTTTAGTTTGATGCACTGCCGTACTGAAGCTGACATTTTTCTGCTTCTCAAAGATGCAATGCTAGCAGAATCCTAATTTTTTAGTACTCTGTCCACATAAAAATCCATTCTTACTCAACTCGGTCAATCCACGCTCACTCATATAACCAAGTCTCACATGTCATAATCTAGTAGTATCAGCTCCTGATATCGATAATGCAACTGCAGCTGAACCGGTAATAGTAGTACCCTGCAAAACATACAAGTTACCAATCTTCTTTCCTTTCTTAACCACAAGAGAGCCTTATATAACCCTAAGAACTACACCTTCACCTGAAATATTACACCCAATGCTATCAAGAGTGCCTAAAGAGATGAGATTCTTCCTTAAACCCCAAACATGCCTAACATTTGTCAAAATCCTGATGACTCCATCATGCATCTTAATCCAAATTGTGCATTTCTCAATAGTCTTGCATGAGGCGTTATTCCACATGAGAACAATTCCACCATCAAGAGCTTCATAAGTGGTGAACCAATCTCGATTAGGACACATATGATAGGAACATCCTGAATCCAAAATCCAATCATCCATCCTCCTGTTTATATCATCTATAGCCAACAAAATCACAGCTTCAGCAATATCAGCTTTAGCGAAGTCCTCCTTTGATTTTTCTTCATACTCTTCTCGTTTATTTTTGTTCTTCAATCTGTGACAATCGACCTTGATGTCTCCTTTCTTCTTGTAATATCTGCAGGTTAAATTCCTATGCTTCGACTTATACATGTTACCTTCAAAGCCCCTTTCTTCCGACCTTCCTCGAACAAACAAGCCCTCAGCTTTATCACCATTTTTACTTATGGTTAACTCTTTTTTCGATCTTCTTCTTATTCAACAAGTTCTCTTTAATGTCCTTGATGCCAATAGAATCTCAACCATAAACCATAGTATCCCTGAAGTGTTTGTAGGAAGACGACAAAGTACACAACAACAATAAGACTTGATCTTCATCATCGATCTTAACATCAATCTTGCTCAAATCTGTATCACAGAATTAAATTTACCAATATGAGATTTGATGGGTGTACCTATCGACATCCGAAGTGTGTACAAATGCTGCTCAAGAGGAGGCGATTAGTGAGCTACTTCGTCAAATACAAATCCTCCAATTTAGACCATAAATCAGCGGTTGTCTTCTCCGTAAGAACTTCTTGCAAAACTTCGTTTGTCAAACATAACTGGATCGCTATGAGAGCTCTATTATCCAACTCATTCCAATCTTCCTTCGTCTTAGTAGTTGGTTTCTTCGACTTCCCGAATAAAGCCTTCTTTAATCAGCTTTGTGTCAACACGGAGATCACCCTAATTTCCCAAAGGATGAAACTGATGTTACCATCAAACTTCTCGATATCCCACTTCATAGTTGTTGTCATCATCTTCTCGTCCGATCGATAGCTGAGGGCTCTGATACCAATTTGTTATGACAAACTCCACAGGATAAGCTAATATCAATCACACGAGAGCACGAAAAATATCGAGAAAACACGAACACAAAGATATATGTGGTTCGGCTTATAGTCTACGTCCACGGGCGAAGGAGGAGAATAGCTTTACTAAACCATGAGGATTACAATGTGAAATCTCTCAATCACTCAATCCTAAATTACACCCCCAAAGCCTAATACAACTCTTAACTAAAAGAACAAAAGAGAAGAATATCAAATAGGCTTCACAAAAGAACTCTCTCTTTTTGATTGGTGCTCTGGAGATTGACGAATCTAATTGGCTTGAAAGACTGTTCTTATATAGCATTGAAGGTCTCAACTCCTTGTTGTCTAAGAAATAAGAGTTCTAATAATAATAGAAGTCCACATGTCCTAAAACCCAACAAGAGCCCAAGTAGAAATAAACCTCTAATATGATTGGTTGTGCAAAGTCTAATGTAAGTAGGACTTTTTATCAAAACAAACCAAGCCATAAAAAGAAACTCCCAAAACAATATGAATTTGAATATTTGAGGTAACTATAACAGAGCGCAATATCTTGATTCACTTAGGGCCTGTTTGGTTCAATAAAGTGTAGGAATAGGATTAGGAATCTTATTTTATTTATGGATTCCAACCTAATCCATAAAATTTTTATAGACAAGTTGAAGTTTTATGGAATCCTATTTTTTTGGCATTCTATGTTTGTTTCACCCAAAGGATTAGGAATCTAACATTTATAGAATTGGTCCAATTCCTAATACCATGTTTGCTTCAAAAAGTCTCTTTTTTTGGGAATAAACACTGTAGCAACAGCAGCCTCTTTATCAATTTAAATATTCCTGTAGCAACGGCTAGAAGAGGCAATTATTTCATATTTTGTGTTGGAAACACTGTAGCAACGGCTCTTTGAAGCCTCAAAAAATTCAGATTTTAAATGTATTAGTCAGAACACTGTAGCAACGGCTAGAAGTGGAACTTGGTGGCTATAAATTCACCTTGAGGCCTCACAATTAATCCAAACATTCTCAATTTCAGCATTTATAAAATTCCCATTGTCTTCAATTTGCTGTCCCGACATGAAAATGATATCAGAAGAGTGCTGGCAGGATTATGAAGTTTATTGCGACTGCCATCTCCGAACACCGATGAAAGTGTGCAAGAATGGTAAAAATAAGGGTAGGTGTTATTGGGGGTGTGCAAAATTCCCAAATAAAGAATGCAATTTTTTCGAATGGGCTGAAGAAAGAGGAGAGTCATCAAGCAACCAAGGAAGCCAATATGTCAAAGAAAATAGGTACGGAGAAAAATATATTTTGCAATCAAAGAAGCTGAAGAAAGAATTGAGACTTGTCGAAAATCAACTACTAGTTTGGAAAATTTCTGCAATTTTCTTAGCAATTTTTTTGTGTTATTTTAATTATTACAAACTTCATGTCATGTACCTGTACTTGCAAAAACTACTGAGGATGTAATGAAAACTGTTGTTTGAACTGGGTACAAATTCTTATTGATATTGTATGGCTCAGTAATAGATCAACTTGTCATCATTGATTGCCCCACCTATAACTTAAACATGTTTATTACAGATTGTATTATAAAGATGAATTGCCTCGCCTAGACATTGCCAATTCAATGTAGGCTGCAATCTCATCTCAAATATTGCCTCATCTGGATTTTAGGGATTCCAGATTTTAGGGATCGAAATCGTGAAGATGAGGAATCGGAATCGACGACATAGCTCACTGTCAGAAATCTCGCCCAAATCCGAACCCAAAGCTCGGAATTGGGTTTCTATAAAAAAGGACAACTGTAGCTACTTTAAGAGAATTGAAATCCCAAAATTTTTGCTGAGCCAAACTCCAGAATAGGATTCACAAAGAATCCAAAAATTACGAAAATGCCACTGTCAGAGCCCAAATACTAATCCTATTCTATAAAAGGGTGAAACAAACAGCCCCTTACTCAAAAAGACTGCTTGGAGATTTTAACTGCTTTCTGTAACGTTCCATAATACTATACTCGAATATGGAGTGTACTCCTGACCAGATATGCATTCATGTGTCTGTATGCATTTGTACCTTTCTATGCATAGGGCATCTCGTGACAAAGACTATTATTGCCTTCCATGTGATATATGTTTCAAGCTTATATATCTATATATATATCTAATAGCAGGTTGAAGAAGAGCATGAACCAAAGTAGAGTTGGAACACTAATCCCATGGATCTCCTCCAACAACTAATCAATACTCCCTCCTCCCTAATACCAATCTTCTTCCTCACAACTGCTCTACTGTTCGCACCCCTACTATTGACATCATTATTCAAAAGCAAATCGAAATCGAAACCGACAAAACTCCCACCAGGACCCTCGAAACTCCCCATCATCGGAAGCCTGCACCACCTCCTCTTCTCCCTCCCCCAACACAAGCTCCGCGACCTTGCCCTCCACTACGGGCCTGTGATGCTCCTCCGCCTCGGCCAAGTCGATAACGTGATCATTTCCTCCGGAGCCGCGGCCGAAGATGTCTTCAAGACCCACGACCTCAGCTTCGCCTGCCGCACCCACAACCCTGAGCTACAACTGCACCAGCATCTCCTTCTCCCCCTACGGCGACTACTGGCGCCAGCTCAAGAAGATCCTCGTCAGGGAGCTCCTCACCTCCAAGCGCGTCAAGTCCTTCTCCTCTCTTCGACACCAAGAAGTCTCCAATCTCCTCAAAGACATCAACAATGAAATCTTGGGACCTGTCAACGCTAGTTCTAAGTTTAGGGAGCTGTTTAATACGCTGGTGGCGAGAGCGGCGTTTGGAGATAAATGCAGGCAGCAGAAGAGGTTCATCGAGACGGCGAAGGAGGGGCTGAGGCTTGTCACGGGGTTTAACGTGGCTGATCTTTTCCCGTCGCTAGCGTATGTCGATGTTTTGAGCGGTATGAGGTCGAGGTTGGAGAGGGCGCACCACGAGTTTGATCGGATTCTTGATGAGATAATTGAGGATCATAGAAAGAAGGTGAAGAACGAGGAGGAGGAGGAGGAGGATTTGGTTGATGTTTTGCTTAAGGTGAAGGAACGCAGTGATTTGGAGATCCCTATAACCTTTGACAACCTGAAGGCTGTGATTTTGGTTTGTACATCTCTTCGCCTTTAAAAAAAAAATCTTTTGTTTCAAAAGAATTAAATAGCATCATTAACACTTTCCACTCTATTTGTATCTTGTACTATTTCTATTGGATTTTTAAGATATTTCTTGGTTTATTAATATATGCCCCTTAAGCAATGCGTATTCCAAAACTGCCGTTCAAATTTCAGTATATGGAAAACTACTCAGATCATCAGTTT